AGCGCATGGAGCATCTAAGTAACTGTCTTGGTCACATGGTTTAGTTTGGGGTAGTCCTGTGAGAAGAGAGTTGGAGTCTATGGTCCACATGAGTCCTTTACTACTTGAGATATGCTATGGTGCTGTGATTCTCTACTTAGTTTTGGTGGAAATTTTGACCCTTTCAGTTGGATAGCTGAACTAATGAATTAAGCAGAGGGTTGCTGTAAGTATATGCAAAAATATGTAGGAAAACAGGGTTTTTTTCTGGAAGAGCTGCCGTCCTAACATAAATGTTGTTTTAAATCAGGAGTATACATGGGATACTGAATGAGGTCAGTTGTATGTACATTCATATAACTTTAATTATATTAATCCTTGCATACAGGGATTAATATAATAAAAGTTGTATGAATGTACTTCGAAATAGCACTCTTTTGTTATTTTTTTATTTGCCTCTTCTGAACTGAAAGTAATTTGGTAACACATCTTGTGTAAGACCACACCAAAAATCTGTCCAGTTCATTGTCCTGAGAGTAGCAGTTATATAGCACAAAGTACATGAGGGCAAGCACATAAGTACGTCTCTCTTGTGTGGCCCCCACGGCCTGCTCTTAATCTTTAGGCTGGGATTTTGGATGTAATAATAATTCTTGAGGGATTATTGTGCCACTTTGTGAATCCTTTCATTATTCAACCTGCATTAACTTTTGGCACCCGCAACATTCCATGTAAAGGAATTCCACACCTGAGTTTGGTTTGTAATTAGGAAATATATATTATAGTTTATTTTCAATACATGACATCTTAATTTATTCAATGCTCTTGTTGGGAAAGACTTGTTGTTCCTTACTCAGGTTCCCCTGGCCACGCGATTTCTTAGACCTCTGCCCTTTCTCTTGTCTGTTGACCATTTTTGAGGATAAAGAGTCCTATTTACTCAGTCATTCTTCACATGGAAATTGTTCCATAGCTTTAGTCTTCCTTGTCTCAGGTCTTTGTATCTTGCATGGCTTTTCTGTGTCTGTTTCATAACATGGGAGCCAAAACTGCACAGTACACCATGTGAGGCACAAGAAGGATCTCAGTGGTGGCATAGTGTCCTGTTTGTTGCCAATTTTAGTATTGGGATTGCTTTTCTGGACAGCCTCTGTACCATACTTGTTCATTAAAGGTAAAAATTTACAACAAAGTTTAAAGGTTAAACTTTGCAAACACTTCCCTAAATAGCAGTAGCTAGTTCAGAGCACATGATGTTATGTATGTGGAGTGTTGGCTTTTCCCTGCCATCTTCATTGCTTTCCCTTTTGTTGTACTTATATTTGTGCATTAGCAAGACTTAGTGCACTGAAAGATTGTTCACTTTTCCAGGTCCAGGATATTCTCTGGTCAACAGTCAGGATACTACTTATGTACTTATCGAGTAGTAAATTTTCCAAATTTCTGCCTGAAGAGTATGCCATGAAATATTCAAATTATCAAAATGGCAATTATTTCTGCAAAAGTAGCCCACATTTTGACTGATGCTTTCTGAGCATCTTGTGTAGATTTTTCAGAGTTAATGACATTGACCTTTGAAAAAATTAAGTTTCTTGAAGTCGCAGATTAGCTGTTGAAAATTACATAGGATTTTTCGTCCTAATTTGAAATATGTATGTGTTTAGAAACAATGTATGATAACAAAAGTAAAAGAACTAAATGAAGTTTCTGTAAAGGGCAAAGGGCCAGACTTCTAAAGTATTTACTTTTGTGGGTAGTGAGAGTTGGCCACTTCAACTCCTTTAAAAATCTGATCCTGAAACCATTTTTAAGACTGTCAATACAAAGGATATCTGGAACTATGCTATAAACTCCAAAATCATCTGCCAAGGGCAATGTCTTCTGAGAGACATTTGTATCTCTTTTACTATAGAGATATAAAAGCTGTTTGAATACTTATTACTCTGAAGTAATTAGAATAATTCATTTTAGCATTAAATATTTGAAAATAAATATCTGAATGAAAGGTCACTGCTTTCTTAACTAATACAAGTTTTGTCATTTCCCAAGAGACTACTTAGAAAAGAAATATAGCTGCTGCTGAGACTCCAAAGCTGAGCTTCAGGAAACAGTAGCTTCTGTTTGACAATAATAAAGTTCATAGGATAGGCTGCGAGACTTTCTTTCAAGGTAAAAACAAAGGCTTGTTTCATTAGCCACTGATACTCTGATCCAATAGTAAAAAAGTAAAATGCTTAGCCTCTACACAAGCAAAAGCATCACATTTTTTAATATATAAATCTGTAAGGAGAGTATACAGACCTATGAAGCCTGGCTTAATTACAGAGCTTAATGAAAGGCATCTGTCCTTTGACTGCAGAATAGTCCACAGGGCCGTTGTTCCTGTCAACCATAATGGAAAAAAAAAAATAAAACCTCCCCCACAATATAGAACAAATGCAGAAAAAAACCTGCTTAGATGTTATGGGAGTGAACATTTTGTCTTGAAAAGGAAACAAAACCAATATGACTTTTTCAGTCTGCGAAATCAGAAAAGTGATCCCTGTAAAAGAAGAGAAGCAGGAAGATGGGTAAATGCAGAAGGAGTTGCTGCACTGAGTTTAAGCTGTGAGTGATAGGATGGGAAGAAAAGAATTCATATCAAGCAAAATTTTTATTATATACTTATAATACTTCTGTGTCTGGTGCTTATGTAATGTAATAAACTGACAGTCCTGTAAGTATCCTTGTAGAGAGCATTTGAACAAACATCAGTCTGTGTTCCATGACCAATACATCCAGTCGGATGAAAGTTGACTTGTACTGTCTGGAAAGCAGTGCACTTCCCTGAATAATAGGCAGTATATTTCTTTGGCACAAAATAAGTGCTTGCAATGGGTGAATTAACATGACTGACAGACAGAGTTCTGTTTATAACAGCTCAACATGAGGGAATTTATCCATTTTTCTTTAAGAAAGTTTGCTGTATTTCACCAAATAACTTGAGCTTCATTCTCTGGTAAAAGCATTTTTTTCTTTTAGGAGTATAGTTTTATTACCTGGACCAAATCAGAGGGTTTAAAAACTATTTTATCTCCTTGAATCTTATTTTGAGTCTCATATATGGCATTCTAAGGATATTTTGCAAAGTATATCTAAAAATACAATCTTTCATACCATTTATTTGAAGTGTTTTAAATAGTTTATCTTGTCTAATGTTGTAGTTCCACATATACTGTATGTAGCTCATCAAGCAGAAGCATATTCTTCATTATAAACTTTAAAATCAGAAATGCAGCTTCACATAATTTTATCTTTAGACCAAGCCTTGACACTGTAGTTTTGAGTCGTAAGGTTTAAAAAGCATGATTCTCTTTTTTGACTTGCCGAATGTCTTTCATCATGCTTAAGAAAGTAAATGACAAAGGGGAGTAGTCGAGGAGGACTAGCAAAGCAAATGACAGAAAAACACATAACACAATGATGTTGAAAAGTAAGCAGAATTAATCTTTAAACTGTTTCATATTTTCTATGGAGATCACATGGGTGTGTGAGGATTTATCTTCCAGAAGAAATTCTGCTGGGGTTACTTAGGAGGTTTTCCTTGTTTTGAGGTTTATTTTCTGTTTTAGATCAGCTTCAGTGCTTCTTGATCTAAGATGAGCTGAGTCTTCCCCAGTTTGTGTATGCACACTCCAAAAAGTAGCCCCTTTTATATCCTTATTCCTCATCCTATATCCTTACAATCTGGGAACATTATACAAGTCTGATGTACATGGGGAACTTGGGTATGCACAAATCTGTTTATTAAAGAAATTAAACTCAAAGTGTAAAGTCCAGCAAGAAAATAGAAACTCTGCAAATCCTTTTTAAAAAATGGAGAAACTGTGTCTAGCATTTCCTTTCCCACATTTCTGTTCTTCTTTCCATTAGATGTGTATTTGCTCCACTGTGTTCTGCAGAATTTACTCTTTTTAGAAATACCTAATTCTGCTTCTTATTGGCTCTTACATGACCATTGTAGATCTCATAGATTCTCATAAAAAAAATCTGTCAGCTGAGTCCTTCAGATTCCCTAAACTGATTGAAAACCATCTCCTTTGGAAAGAAGCTAGAAAATCAACATTGGTTTTTCTCCATCTTCGAATGTGTCTTCTAGTCTGATTAAAGTTGCCTTCTGGTAGTCATTGGTAAACTGTTATCAGCTGATACAGTTAATGTAAGACTTCTAGATGTTATGTCTTGAATGCCTATTTTATTTAGGAAGGCTGACATGGAAGTTGGTTTGGATGCTCCTGGGCTGTCTGTCTGAGTTGCTTCCTGCCTGTTGGTTTCAATAGCAAAGTGGACTCCTAATCATCCCTGGACAATGCATTTTAATTATTTTTACTGAGCTCCCTCCTATAAGGAGCTTCAGGTTCTCTGTTGAGATGGAATGTGTGCATAGTTGACATTTCAGTTTTCAATAGTGTCAGAATATGGGAACACATCATACACAGCTCCTCCAGAGACAGTATGAAGATGTGCCAAAGAAGAAGCTTGCTGATTTTTGTGAACACAGCCAGCTCAGCCCAAACGGACAGCTCTCTGTTTTGGTCAGAACCTGGGACTTCTTCCCTGAAGTGACCTAAGAGAATTTGCAGTAGTAACATTGACCTCAGGAGATCTTTTGATCCTATATTCCTCCCTGGAAAAAGATTCAGGCACTTTCATGACCAAATTTAGCAATTCCAATTTTGAGTGTTCTTAACACAGATACATGAGATACACATATAATACCTGTGAACAAAATGAATCCAGTTATTTGAACTCAGCTGTGACATTTTACTTACCATTCCACTGACAAGTTTTTAAAATGGAGTTCAAGTTCAGAGTTAAATACATCCATTGATTCATAGCACAGATTTTTGCATATATATACAAGAAATTCTTTATCCAGTAGGGAAAAATAAATGGGTGATACTGCTTTCTTTTCCAACAGAATTCTAAAAATTACCTCATGAATATGCAATGTTCCTAACTTAGTTTATTGTTTCATTAAGGTCTTGGCATTGATAAGAGGACATCTTTACCACAGAGCAATTCTTCTCCTTGGGATGATTCACTTTTCAATATATCCATACATGCAGCAATAAGACATGGAAAATGGAAGTTACTAACTGGATATCCAGGTAACAAAATACCTCCTTTTTAGGATAGATTGTATCCTATCTCCCACCCACCACCAACAATTTAATTTTGTTTCATATGTATAGAAATTCTCCTAACTTCTTAGGTTTTTGACCCCATGCAAAGATCTAGAATGAGCACTTCTAAAATACAAACTATGTATTTTTTTCATTTTCCAAATATTTTGTCTAAAATGCAAACTATGTATTTTTTCCATTTTCCAAATATTTTGTCTGCAACTCACCTAAACTGTAGGGAAAAAACTTATAGAATATCTCAAGTTGGAAGGGATCCATAAGGATCATAACATCCAAGAAGAAGGGCCACTGAATTAATTAATTGATATGAAATAAAGTTACATGGAATTTTGGATCTCAGTGCAGTGTTTTTTTGCATAAATATGATTCCTATTTAGGTAGCCCTGCACTAGAGAGACTCTGGTGCAGAAGTAAAGTTAAGGTCTGCAGAACTGTCACTGCACAGGGGCTTGTCAAGAGACCTAGTGAATTAATCAATTGTAGCAAAACTGTGTCTCCACACTGCTGCTCTGTATCTCAGAAGTGACCCTTGGTCTGTTCCTGTCCCTGTAGGCTGCAGTCATTGGTTCCCTCCACCATCCTTGTACAATGAGTCACAGATTCAGTCGTCTGAGCCATCAACAAAGAGACTTTGGCTGTTTGATATTGTTCATGACCCTGAAGAGAAAAATGATGTGTCTGAAAAATACCCTCATGTAGTGGAAAAACTTCTCTCACGGCTTCAGCATTATCACAAACGTTCAGTGCCTGTGTTCTATCCTGATGAGGATCCTGCCTGTGATCCAGCAGCAACTGGGGTTTGGGGTCCTTGGGCATAGTGCATTTTGCACCCTGCATAAAACCTCTGTAGCAGAGTCTGGTTTATGGACTCAGAGTCCTAGTGACATAGTTTGTACTGTCTTTAATGAGCTGTTGCTAACTGTGAGCTTATTCTTTGAATAATTCAGTATTTCTTATTCTTGATCTGTTGAGAATCTTACTTCAGTCTTTTCCCATTCTCTCATTCCCAACAATTATATGTGAAACGTTTGGGGTTTTTTCTTAATATTCTTTGTCTGCAATATACTTCTAGTGTAGAAGATAAACATTGCCTCCTTCCTTGAAAGAAATTGAAAGGAATTGAATTCCTTGTCAGGAATCATGGCAGCACAGACATCCATAATTAATCAGTCTTGTGGAGCATACTGAATGCTGGTTTCATGTTTGTCCAGAAGACAAATTCTGAAAGTTATTATAAATCTGTATTGGCATAAAATTTTTTGCCTTTTGCATGTACTTCCATCCAGAAAAGGGAAGAGTAAAAAAAAGAAAACCTCATAAATACAACAACATCTCTATTTCTTGTTCCTTCTAATGCATCAAAGAGTAGAGAGTGATGATCAACTGGAGTGCAGGGCTGTCAGGTAGAAGGATCTTGACAGGCTGAAAAAATGGGTGAATAAAGATTTCATGAATTTCTAGAGTTGCAGTTGGGCTGGACGAGCTGCATTCAGGAGTTCATGCTTGGCCATGACCAGATGGAAAGCATTTTCATGGGGAAAACATCTAGGCATTCTTCTGGACAATAATTAGGACAAGAGTTGCCATTTTCTCTCTAGGTGAAGAAAAGTAACTCATTGTTGTTCCATATAAGAGAATGTAGCCAGCAGCTAGGGGGTTGTCTTAATTCTCTTCTATCAGTGCTACAGCACAGCATCACATTTTGAGCTTCCCTATACAGGAAAAGTATTGGCATGTTGGAGTTAGTCCAGTGAAGAACTATGAATATGATCATGGGAAGGGATAAAGAAATGGGTAAGTTTATGGTGGTGACAAGAAGGGAAGTTGCTACCTTCAGCTACCTAATGTGAGAGCATAGAGAAGAGGAAGTAGGACTCTTCTCAGAGGCGCACAAAGATGAAAAGCACAGAGGGAACATGTGGAGTTCCAATGCAATATAAGGAAAGGAAAAAAAAATCACACCCTGAGTTTAATTAAATATGGGAAATGTGGCAACCCTAATCCTGGGCATCTTCAGTCTTTGTTTGGAGAAGATGCTGAACAATTCTGTCCCTGAAGCTGGATCAAATTTGAAGTTGACTGGTTTGGCAGAGGTGGTGAGGAGCAACCAGTGACCTCCAAAGGCCCCTCTCTGCAAGAATTGCTCAACGATTCTGTGATGAACAAAACCTTGCTTTTATTATCTGCCTGGTAAGTACTCTGCCTTTATTACCACAGCGGAGTCTGTTTTCATCCTGAAGTGGGCTCAGAGCCATGAAGAAACCAAGCCAGGCAACATTTCTCAGTTAGTCATCAAATTGATGCAAGATAACCTGCCAGCTCTCTATTAGTGTCTCAGACCCTGAGTTCTGGTACTGTTTCTCAGTGTCCTTGGCTAAGTTCTCAGGATGCAGAGCTCAATCTGTCATCATCTCCAGAAAGCAGGAATCTAATTGCCTTTTTCCTGGCTCCAGGACCAACTCATATAAATTACACTAAAATTTTGCAAAACTTCCCAATTTTCTCTTGGGAGACTTAGGCTAATTGTTAGCAAATAGATTAATGAAGAGAAAGGCTTGAAAAAATCTGTGCATTAAAAAAAAAAAAAAAGATGACGTCTGAAAAAAAGATGAAACAAGAAAACTGGAAATGCATATGCTTTCTAATACAGCTGATTCACCACTACACTGTCTTAAATCTAATCTTGAGAGCTTGTCTTTTCTACCTTTGATGTTTTTTCTATGAGAGGAAGATAAAATTCTCCAGAAACCTGTTCAGCTTTTTATCTTTCTCCCAAAGAGCTTTATGTTTCTCTCACTCCTTTGTCACTTCTGCTCCTTTATATCAGCTTTTTTTCCTATTCTATTTCATTCACTATCTTCAGCCTTGAAGACAAAGAGAAATGTAGGTTCAGAAAAAGTAATTCTCATATAATAGACAATATATTTTCTCTGTGGTTTAATTGGATACAATCCTATGGAATCCTGTTTCAGACAGTTTCAATTTCCTTCTCCATTCATCCATCAGTGGCTGAAAGCAAATGGTTGCAGCAGGATATGACAAGGCAAGCTCTTCAAATTGTTCCTCACCTTCTAAACAGTCACTCAGTGCCTCAAAAACCAGTTTCTCTTCCATTAGGTTGCACCAGCCTTTCCACTGGGGCCCTTGGGCATAGTGCCCAGCCTTGCAAATACTTTCTAAGCTGTTGGTATTCACATAGACATGCATTTCCACAGTTTATCTAGACACTGGGTGAATCATCTGATTGTTACCTGCCTCCAGGTAATTTATATTTTCATTGGTAAAACTTACCTACTGTGACAAAAGCTCTTACTATCCTACAGTTAGCAACTTTCATATGAACTAATAGATTTAAAATATTAAATTAAAAACATTATACATTCTGTAGAAGCCGTTTCCAAACTGGTACCTGATCATATCTCCTTCCATTTCATGAAATACTTTTAGGATTTTCTTTCTGTCATGTGGCTTTTCACTCAGTTCCTGCTCAGGCTTTAGCTAACACACAGCTCATTTGTTGAGACCTGATGTTGTTGGGACTGGTGCTGTGAGATCTGAGAGAGCAATGTGTAGGAGGCCTGCAGGAGGGGCTCAGGTCATTATGAAGACATTACTCGTCTGCTACAGACATAATGCTTCCTACTGATGGTTGGTTCCTTCAGAATCCACTAACTTACGGGAATCATGTAGACCAAACGTCAGAGCTGGAAGTCGCAAACATGACAGCTTGCCCAAAAACACCTCTGAAGCACATCCAGCAATAGCCAATCTGCTGGGGTTTTCGTGCTTTCTGATGGGATAATGGGAGGCCTGTACTGTGACAGACGAGAAAGATGAGCACTCTCAGCAGCAGCTCTGCGAGTATTTTGCTTATATCCTTTAAGTTATGACTTAGACAACTTGTGAGTTAAAAACCTCATGAATTAAGGAACAAATTAGTGAATTCCCATGTTAGTCTTGTTTGTCTGAAGGAGATTGAGCCTTTGTTTGATGTGTGTGTTTCTTTCCTAATGAGCTCATAAGCTCATAATTTACAGACCAGGTTGTTCTGTAAATTAGAGAGATCCAATCGGACCATGACGATCTTGGCTTCAGAGTACAGCAGCATTTCTCTTTTGAGCTTTTGAAGATTCTTTATGATAACTGAGGCTTAGGTTCTGTTATTTGCTGACCACATCAAGGGAGGGAAAATGTAAGCAGCAAAACCTTTTTATAAGCTATTGTATCATGTTGACAAAGCTTGGATCTTCCTTCAGTAGCTCCAAAAACCTTTATTGCAGTTCCCTTTTCTAGCAGTTGAGGTCAGTTTGTTTTATACTGATACAATTATTTATGTTAGTTTATAACTGACCTGTTTGGCACAACTGCAAGTTCCATATTCTAATTGTAGCGTACAGTTAGTAACATGATTTCAAGTATGGGATTCTGAAAGAGTGAAGTGTTACATTACCTTTGTGACCTTTGGATTTACTATTTTTGTATGTGTCATAATGATACATGTTGTCCTTCAAATGCCTTTTTGAGATAAATTATCCAAAGAACAGAAGTTCCATTAGTTCTTATTCATCCAGAATGTTTTGGTACAGTTTATTTGTGCAATCAAATGCAAATGGAGACATTGACAGGTATTCCCCAATAAGTAAGGCAAATAGGTCCAAAGTATTTATGTTATCCTCTCTTTTTTCATAGCACATGTTCATTTAGTGTCCTGTGTACAAATGCAGACATGTAAGATTAGAAAGCTAACTGTTCTCAGTCAATATCACATATAGCATTTTCATTTACAGTAGGCATTACAAGATGTGGTTGTTGCAATAACAAGGGACTGAACTTGGGGGTGGGGGAAATTTCTGGCTGACATTCCTGTCTGTCCTTCAGCATTCAGCACTTGTATTACATGAGGAAAGATGTCTTACCCACAGAAGTAGAAACTTCTGTTAATGATATTTTTAACTGGGATTTTTATGCTGATAGCTAGTTTCATGGAAAAGAAAAAAAAAGTACCTAAATTGTAAAAGCTCAATAATTAATGTCCTTGACTTCCATCAATTTCAGCTTCTTGGATGAAGTTACAAAAGATCAAAAAAATTCCAATTTTAGTTTCAGAGGTAAGCAGAGCTTTTATGTGTTCTTTTTTCTCTATGTCCTGCAATCTGCATTTTAATGTCTTGCTGATATCCTAACTTATATATTTCATTTACTAGGAAGTGACTGTGACACATCAATGTCTCACACAGGTATTCAATTCACCCTCTGTTTCCTCTTGTTATGTTTTAAAATTCAAAGATTCATTCTTTTCTCAGCTACAGTAGACCTAATTTTTACTTTTTTAATTGTCAAATTATTTTCCATGGGTGGTCCTTCATAAAACATTTGAATTGAACTGTGTTAGGGAAAAAAACCATCTGGCTGACACATTTAGATTGGCATCAGCAAAGAGTTGTATACTCTTAAGTTGTTTCGAATTGGAAAATAGAGAATTCTTTATATGTTTTGTGGTTACTTGAGTAACATTCAAAAATGCAAGTATTTTGAACTCTGAATAAAACTTCATTTCATCCCTTTCCAATTTCAGATTCATTCTTAATCTAGCAAACATCTGAGCATTATGAATTTGAAAGTCTTAATCTTTATGCTTTAGAAATTTTTTAAGCTTCAGAAAAGTAACCAAGTTGAGGAAGAATGCTGACACTGACTACTCATTTTGCATTGCTTACTTGTAAAAAAGATGTACACAGTCAAAGAGTGCATGATCTTATAAACAAAACAGAAGATCCGGATCTTTTCTTGAGTCAAAGGCCATATATTCCATATATGAAAATAATTTGTCCAACTTTCCTAAGGTTGATAAATGGGTCTTGGATTAAGATCTGAGTTTAATCCTCTTCAGAATCTCTGAATTGAAGAACCCATGAAGAACCCAGAGTTTAAACACTTGTGGTCTGTGTGGATTTGAAATTACACTACCAGTCCTTGATGGCCTCTCATCCTACTTTCTAATACAGTGGTTTAATGGTAGCAATATACCCAAAACTGTTTCATGCT